CTATTTTGTCCAGTGCATACGTTCTTGGATACGCGTAGCCCGGAGTCCAGCCTTGTTAGCTTTAGTCCGCTCCCTATCCCAGGGAGCGGATCTTAGTTTGGTGAACAGACTAAAACTAACAAGCTTAAAAGGCTTGACTCCATTCGTGTTAAAAAGTTTTTATGAAGCGACATTTCACATCAATACCTTACATAAGTAAGTCGAGTCAATAAAGAATAAATGGATTTTTAATTCATAAGCATTACATACTTACGTAGTACTAGTTTCACATACCTCCCCTAATTCGTTTTGCGAGATCTTTGAAGTCCACGAAGTTTGGAGAAAGATACACGTGGCTGGCGTCCGTGGCCAAATCATACAGCTGCTGCTTGTTCAGGTTACCGCCTTGAAAAGCCACAACACCAGCAATTAATGAATGAATGAATAACCTTTATTGTACATTTTGGATAATTTTGAACTAAGTACAGGTCATGGTAAACAGCGATGGTAGACTAAAATATATCGAAAGTAAAAGCTACATATATACAGGTTCTGCTTCTTCTCGCTTCTTAAAACAGTTGTAAATGTAAGAACGTTAACAGATGGAGGATTATCGAGTTTCATGAGGAATGTGAAATTTTCTTTTCTATCTAAAAATCTAAAACTAGGGAAATAATCTTATTTAGAGAATGTTTCTCTCATTATTATATATAGAGTACAGTCCACAATAAAATGACTCTCGTCTTCAATCTCATTTAAATTACAGTAATGACAAATTCTTTCTTGCAGAGGAATGTGGTTGTGTCTACCCTTTTATTAATGACAATGACAATGAACTTTATTGCAGATTCACGCCCTACACAAGCCAAACGCACTAAGTTAGATAACTTGGGTACAGGTATAGAAGAAACAAGTGTTACATGTCTGTGCTACGTCTCTACCTACAGGATCTATCTATAGGATAATTCGCACGAGTAGATCCCTCAAAACGTAGAAATAAAAATAGAATTTTTTTCAGAAATTTATATTAGGTAGCCTCAAACTAGGGTCGCCCTATGAAACCAGGGTTACCCTAAACAAGGGTCACCCTACTTAAGTTTAGGGACGCCCTAATCATGAACATCCGTTCATGGCATTACAACGTCACCTCTATCTGTAACCATACACAAACGAATGTATAACCTGACGAAGACAAAAATGATTAGAAAAATGTATATTCGCGAACTTACCAATACCAATGCTGAATATCTCTGCATTGTAGGTAGATTTCAGGTTGTTGGCCCTACCCACAGGGTCGTTCCCTCGAGTCGGGTGACCATCCGTTAGAAGTATCGCCACCTGCATACAACAAGATTTTGTCTCATACCTCAAGCCCTTGTCTCACATCCAGAAAGCCCCCCGAATAACAGCCGACCAACGTTTCAAACATTTTCAAACCATTTATAAACATAAACATAAACATGGACATAAACATGAACATGAACATGAGCATAAACACGCCGTATGAGCCCTCTGGCGAATGGATACTGCCTCGCTAAATTGATACTGTCTTTTGCCATCCTAGGATCTGCTTGGAGATCAAGGTTACCGTTCCCTAATACCCCCAGTCCACCTAGACGGCGCTCTCACGGCGCTCTCTCTGCGACCTGAAATTGGCCAGAGCGCGGAGGTCGCCATGGGAGCGCGATGAGAGCGCCATGAGTACCGTCACCTCGGCGACTGTATGGAACCGGGTCATACCATCGCCGTGAGAGCGCCGAGGACGGCGATGCAACAATGAACGCCGTGAGAGCGCAAAGGGAGCGCGGCGAGCGCCGTGAGAGCGCGGAGCCAGCGCCACGAGAGTGTGCAACGATCCCAACATTAATTTTGATACAAAACATGGCGACTTTGGCGCTCTCACGGCGCTCTCTCCGCGCTACGACCAATTTCAGGACGCAGAGAGAGCGCAGTGCAAACGTCCTAATGAAATGGGGGCCTTACACCCTTCATCTAAATATGATGCAGCATGTAGGATGTAGAAGAATGACCTTGAAAGACAGAAAATTTCCAAAATTTCGTTCTGACTCTATTTCCATAATCTTTGCATCCCCGTCCTCGGCGCTCTCACGGCGATGGTATCAACCGGTTCCATACCATCGCCGTGGTGATGGCGCTCAAGGCTCTCCCATGGCAACCTTGGCGCTCTCTCTCCGCGCTCTGGCCAATTTCAGGTCGAAGAGAGAGCGCCGTGAGAGCGCCGTCTAAGTGGAATGGGGGTATAGACACACTACGGAAATGTGTCAACATCTGCACATTTGCCATCGAGAGCCGTTAATTTTTTTTGTATTCGTTACATATATTTTCACGCAAAGACCTTCCAGCAGAGGGCGCCTGTGCGATACGTTTCCAACAAAAACGCTCCTGCAGTTGCCAAAACGATGCTGCATGTTTCGCGCTAGCTTGGCCTTTTGGATATCATCCAGGTTTCACATCCTTACATTTACTTCCGTACGAAACTGAAATCAATACGAAACGTACCCAGCTACGAGTAGTGCAAAAAATAAAACCATGTGAGAAATAAGCATTTCGCTTAGAATATACATTCTCAATGAAATGAAACTTTCGACTAAAAAAGGAAAATGCGTTTACTATCTTGTATACAGTGGAGGGGATTCATTCCTCAAGCTAACCTACACGCAGTCGTCCCTCAATAAGACACCTGGAGCCGCATAGTTCAGCCTTTCACACTGGCAAAACCTGTCCTGTGACAGGCTGAATAAAAGTTCTAAACGGGAACTATGTGGCTCCAGGTGCCTTACTGAGGGACGACTGCGCTATCGTGTGCGAGATGTCGGTTAGCTTGAGGAATAAATCCCCTCTATTATATACTACGTTTACTATCTTACTTGCTTAACTGGCCTCTCTGGCGGCTTGAAATAAGATGCTGGCCGTAGTAGCTCCTGTGCTAAGCGGAAAGCGTCGTCCGTGTTGGTCCACTCTCCGATGTACTTCACCGTCTTCAGTTCCCTCAGAAACGAGCACTTGTTCTTCGGGTACTTGATGTAGTCGATGTGGGTCCGGGCAACGTCGTCAAACGACACGACGGCGACTCGCGAGGCGTGAGGACTGATGGTCAGTTGGCTGAGCAAGTTCTCAACAAAGGCGATTTCCACGGTCTGTGAAGGTAGGTGGGTGGGTGAGTAGGTGATTGTGTTTGCGTGGTTGTTTTGATGGGTTTTAGCGTGGGTGGATGGGTGGATTTTTGGTAGGCGATTGGATGGGTTTAGTTGAGTGGTTGGATGCGTTTGGGCAGGTGGATATCGGGATGGATGGATGGATGGATGGGATTTGAGCGTGTAATTTGATAGGTTTTGGGTGGTTTGGTGGGTTTTGTGTAGATGGATGGTTTTAGGTAGGTGGTTGGATGTGTTTAGGTGAGTTTGG